GTAGTGCTTGAAGAATTAATATTACTTTTTAGAATAGCTCGCGCAGGAAAAGAAAAATCACTTGCTTCTCTTAAATCATTTACATGTTGCTTGAAGAAAGCACCCAACTGAGATATGTGATGAAGTCTTGAATTATTATAAAATTCTGTTATAAAGTTTGGATCGATTGCTGTTTTAGCTAAATCATTTTTATTGACTTTATTTAAAACAGGTTTTGTGTCTGTAGTAGAAGTAGTACAAGCATCCAACATTTTACTGTTTTCTTTAGCACAATTTTCAGTAGTTAAATTCCGTTCTATGTCCTTGTCATCTTTTAAGTGGCTTTCATCAGTTTTAATTTTTGTTGCAATTATTTTGTTGAAGTTTAATTGTGGTTGAGTTCGTGAGTTTTTGTACAATAAATAATTTCTATAGTCTAACAAACTGTTAGCAGCAATACTGTCAGTTATCCATTCAGGTTTAACGACTTTGGAAAGAGACATATTCTTAACTTTAGTATCGGGTAAATTAGAAGCAATTATAAAGTCATTACTTCGTTGATAAGTATGATAAATACCACCATGTTGAGCCATGAGTTCTTTTAATTCATCGGCAGACGGTTTTGTAAAACCATTTACGTAAATTGCTACATCATTAAATATATTAGACAATCGAGTTACTTCTTTCCCAGCGCAATTAGAAAATTGAGCTTCCAGTTTCGCAATTTTAACTTGCATATAACCTCCACCATCTTCAAAGCCATTTTCGGGAAATTTTTCATCCCGACGTCGCATATTGTGGAAACAAGAAACTTGTAATAAATAACTTTTTTACGTAAACTTTTAGGTACAACTCCTATTTTGTTTTGGTTTTTCCCACCAAATAAATTGAAAGTTGAAACGTCAGTGGTGGCAGACTAAAAGTAAACTTTTCTCTTTTTTTCTTTTAGTTATCTTTGTTGTTTTTTTTTGTTTTGATAAGGAAGTAAAGCAAGACGAAGTTAATTCAGTTCTGAATTCATACCTAAGGAAAGTACTTATCACTCTAAAAATCTTAACCCTTATATCTACTCTGTAGCCACAACAACTTTTTTGTTTCGAGTCATGTCAATGTCATTTGTCAATTCCAATTTTTAAGTTCAAAAAGTCGTTGAAGTTATTTTGAAAAATTAGAAACTTCTTGAATTACTTTTAATTGATTGATTGATTAAAATGTCTTCAGATAATGAAGACGCAATAGTTGCACCTTGGGTGGGATCTTTATCAAGTAAAAATGTGTTAACAGTTGTAGTTGTTTCGACGAATGTAGAAATTATAGAGAGAATTGCTGAAGCACTTACAGATGTACATACAAAAGGTACATATAAATGGAAACTTATAACTCTACGTTCCTTCGATTTAGAGAAACTTGTCGAAGTATCAAATTTAACAGGAAAAATGGGAATGGACTTTGTTATTTTAGCTATGGACACAAATATATTGTTTTGCTTGGAATGGACTAAGAATGCATTGAGTCAGGTCGATCCTGACCTTAGAGCTCGTCGAGTTGTGTTAGTAAATGCTGGTGGAGCACCTGTAAATGCAATGGCAGTCAGTGCAAGTGATTTAATAGCATTTTCTACGGAAGAAAATTTGGACATGTTGAGTGCAAATGTGTTTGTGCAACATGAAGCTTTGTCATTAGCTCAAAGACTATTACGATATATGGAAGTGTCTATTGGTGTTGATACAGGGGTTCCTAATTTAAACATTTAAAGCCTTAAGTATATGTAGTGAGTAAAATCATCATTAATATAACATTACTTAGTATTTAATTTTATTTCAATACAATTTCATCTTATGGTTATCGCTTAAATATAATGTGATATAGTGTCAAAAAGTGTCCATCAGAAACTTGTTTCTCTGGCCAACAAACTGAACATTTATAAAAAAATAAATTGTACCTAATCTACTTGAAAAAAAATGACTAATTGGAACATTAATTACATGTCCATTGAATTATAAGGTGAATAAGTGGATAAGTCAATAAAACTAATATAATTAGAATTATCATTTATTATACTTCAATTGTACTACAAAATAATAGGAAGTTTTCTACAGTTACAATTATATATTACATAAATAATGAAACAATTACAGCAGTCCCTCACAAAGCTTTCTCAGGCGCTTCTGATAACAGTTATATTCATGAAAAGAGTTCAACTTTGATTCTTGCAACATAAATCAGTACGGAGAAATAACCTTAAATCTAAATAAAATACTGCTCAGTAATAATTTGTGTAAATATATATAACACAACCCTATGACATCTGATTGAATACAAAATTGAGTAAAAAAAAATCATTCTGTAATCATTATACACTATGAATATTTGCATTTTATTGTTAAAATAATTGAATAAATGCAAATTCACATTTGATAATACAATTTTTATATTTGCGAATTTTGTGAAAACCCAACATAAATGGCTTTCTTTCTTTTTAAGTATCTGCACAAGAGTTTTAAATACAAAAAAGTCTTATTAGGGTAAACATAAATTTTTCTACTAAAAATAAATTCACATTCATAGCATATAATGATTTTTTCATTCAAGTTGCACTACTGTCATATGGTTAGGTACAATTCATTTTAATCTAAAATATAACTATACTCATTGCCAAAATCTTATAATAAACGTCACAATGGTGACTTAGATAAAAAATAAACGTATACGAAAAATGTTTAATATTAGGCAATATCACAACTAAACCGCCCGATAGTGACGGAATTAATAAATTAAACACAATACAATGCATCAGTTATTGCGTGTATAACCCAAAACACATCAGAGTTTGTAAACATACATAATCATTGGAAAATAAAGCCCTTCGCACACAAGACAACGGAAACCAAGACTTTGGTTGCTAAGAGACACAATTCTATGTCACAGACACGTCGCTATAATCAGTTGCTACCTGTTTCACCCTAAGTACCTGAAATTTTAAATTTGATACAGAGGTTATAAATGGCATTAGCATCTACAATCGATTTTATTTCAATATAAGGCTGTATAAAAATTAATTTTAATATTTGACTATTCAAGTTAGAAAACCATTAATTAATTAATGTTAGTTAAAAAAGGATTGGTGCACTTATACATTCAGTAGATTTAAAAAATCAGATTTAAACGAATACAGTTAAATATTGTAAATTCGTAAATACTTCAAAATTGTGTTGCACGGCGATACTCGCGACGAAAGTACTTAGTTTCGAAGATTGTGTACGAAAGGCCTAAATGTATGACCATTCATAATTCAACATTCAATAATAATCATGTGTACATTTACGTAAACGGCTTTTATTAAGATTTTTGTAAATAATTTTTATGAATTTTACAAAAACTAGCTTCTGCACTTAATGCAAATCTTTTTTGGGTTATACAATACATAAAGATTAAAATCAACCTAACACTGCCTACTGCAATTACATTTATAGTCATTATATAAATAAAATAATAATTGTTGAAAACAATTGCAAAGTGTTATTTGTGCATATAGAAAATGTGTTACAGAATCGCAATAATGTTTAATAAAATAATTATTCAATCAAATAAATAATGGAATGTGTTGTTACACATTTATTGAATTATTTTTCTATAAAATTTAAATCACTATACACTTTTTTTCAATTTTTTATAGTATTATTGTATTTTTATTAAACAATATTGCAATAGATTAATTAACAACAGAAATTAAATAAGAAAATCAACAGAAATAAACATTATATGAAATTGTCATGTTTTGTTCTTACCAAACATCTGAATAAAGTCAAGTATAAAATGATATTTATGAAGAAATACACATTTAGGATAGGCCATTACAACTATTTCTATAGATTTACGCTATTTCTTTTAATATGAAAATTACAAGATTGCCTACTCTGATATTAATTACTTTTATATATTGATATAGTGAAAGGGAATGGCGATGAGCAAATTCACTCAAAAGCAACCTTTTATTGGCCCATTAAAGTTAAAAAGTTTAAAATAAAATCTTAATTTAATAACCAATTAAACAATTTGCTTGCGAATTCTTAAATAAAATGAGTGTTACAAAATTTTATTTTACAATATTCAATTTTAATTAATGATTGTATGTATTAATTATACTGTGATTTATATTATTTGCAGGATAGTAAAAATGTATGGAGAATATCTTACTATTTATAAATTTTGTACTTAAACAATCAATACAACAGAATTATGTTGTTAACTAACAAATCAACAAGTTGTATGATTTTCATATATTTAAAACAATATATTAGTGTTAAAAAGGATTAATTAGAAATGTGGGATTTTAGCGAAATTAAAAACCAAGAAAAAAATATTAAAACTAATATTATAAGTCAGTAGGTGCAAAAATTTTAACACATTCAATGCCACCAAGTTCAGTTTTCTACATGATCAAAGTGGCATTAAATGTGTTAAGTCCGAGAGTTGAACAGTTAGACTACCCACATACACATCTTATACTAAGTTCCTGTACTGAAAGATATAGTTAAAAACATTCCCCTATATATAATAGTAGTATTTCACTGTTATGACACTTGTATGTAAAATGTGTCACTGCAATGAAATTCTACACTAACTTTCACAGTCCATATTGGCAAAATATGGTTTAATTTAATGTCAACATAATGTGCCCACCAATCAGCCCAAAGGGATTTTTTCCCTTTAGGTTGATCGATTGTACAGTTTCGATCGACCCAATGGATATTTCCCATCGGATCGGTCCAACAGGAAACATCCCTGTATAAGTTGACTTTTAATTTGAAATTGTACTAGTCATTGACTAAAACCACAAGAACTAAACATTATCAAGTTTTTGTTGGGAGATGTGCGTCTATTGTGGGGGCACGGCTTTTGTTAGATTCTTACAGTGACCCCACATTGGTGTCACTGGACTGTGAAAGTGTTCTTGTTAAGGGACAATAATAGTTTTTTCTCATCGCCATGAAAGTCTACATCTGAGATTCAAAGTGCCGTTATGATTTTTGATATTATACAGTGCTTTTATATAAGTTTTATATAATTTTAAGATCATGCCGTAGGCTTCCGCTGTATGCTAAAAAATTGTAATGGAGATTCTCATATGTGATTATATTATAGTTCATTTAATTATAAACCACTATATCATTTTAAATCTATGCTTAACAAAGTTAAAACTTACAATAACTTTTAAGTATCAGAACCATTTTTTTTCTATACATTTTTTAGTTTTAACTTTATTAAGCGTAGATTCTAAGATTAAGTCCTGTTTGCACTGCGCATAACATAAATCTTATAGGAAAAAACTTAACTTTTGATGCAATATTTATGTAAATAATTTTAAATTTTGTGATTCGAAATATGTTTGCGCAGTGTAAATACTGATAATTTCCAATTCCGGTACATTTGTATTGTTCTCTATTTTAAATAATGAGAGTACAAATGTTTTAAATATTAGTTGTTTTAAATGCAGAGATTCTTGATATGTATGTAGCGTCAGCCGGCACGTCCACACTCACTGTGCTCACACACTGTACATGTCCACTATACACTGACCTGAAAATAAAAGGATATATGTTACTTTTGTTTTTTATTTGCCTAAACTTTGACAATATTGTAAAATATCTAGAATTCATTTCATATTACATGAATATGTTAGAAGCGATCCTATCGCTTGGTTCATTTTCTAAACGTAACTTTTTTAAAATAAAAAAAAAACTGATTTTTAAGAGTTCCTATTTTTCGTATGCGTCTCTAACTCAAACACTACTTTGTAGTTTATAAAGTTGGACCAAATGGTTTTAAGGAACCAAAGTTCCTCATCATCCACTTGCCCTTATCCCTTATGGAGGGTCGGTACAATACGTACTGCTCTTCCATACATCTCTATCAGCCGTCATATCTGAATCCACTCCTTTCTTAAATATATCCTCTTTCACACAATCCATCCATACTTTCTTCGGTTTGCCATCCACATTCAATCTTAACATTTTCTGGTTTATGTCCCCATCGTTTCGTCTCATAACATGTCCATACCACGCTAACCTTTAGGTCCTCAATTTTTCCACCACTGGCGTTACTTTCAAACTTGAACCATAATCCTTATCTATACTATATATTATAAAGCGTAAACACACACTTCTCTGTTGCCCAAGATGTCAACAATTACAGCATAAATTTTGAACAATTATTTATTCAATAAAAAGTCTAACACTTACGTCACGTTCTAGGCTATTTATTTTCACGCCATTAAACTTAGGGGATTTACCCCCTAATTTTGGATAAAAACCCTAATGTGGCAAAGACCATAAGTTGCTGCCAACATCAAGAGAGACTGCTAAGGTCATGTCATGTCATTTTGACATTTGTTGCTAATTTGACAAATGTAAACAATAAAATAAAATTTTGACAATTTTACGCGGATGAAGCCGCCAAGGAACAGCTAGTAAAAAATAAAACTAATCATGTGTAGAGACCTAGTCGGAGTCTGCGAGGTTGACGACGTCTGTGGGGGGCGGGGCGCGCGCGAGCGGCGGGCGGC